TCTCTCTTTCTCCCTCCACACTATTGCGCTGTCTGGCTATTCTGGGTGTTCTCCATTTCGGGACTGCTCGTCAGTTGGAATCTGGCTATATATATATACATATATATATATATATATACATATATATATATATATACATATATATATATATATACATATATATATATATACACGTTTCTCTCTTTCTCTCTCCACACTATTGACTTTTGGTTAATATGTACACATATGTATACGTATACATATATGTATACATGTATATATGTATCCATCAATTCCGGCATTGTTGGAAAAAAAAAATGTATATATGTAAACATATATATATATTTGTTCTATAATAGCAGAAAACAAATCAAGATATTCTGTTGTAACCATGTCTAGGCATTTAGCGTTTGATGAGAAATTATTACACAGCGGTGGAGAGGGAAGCGAGGGGAAGGGGGAAGGACGGCTGGCTAGTAAGGAGAGGGGCAGTGATGCAGGGAGCCGATGTCCACGTCGCTCTTATGACGCAGGAGATTTAACAACATTCCATGGACCATGCAAAGTCAGAAATACAAAAACGACTAGCTGAAAACGACCGTCGAAATAACTCAGAAACTACAAATTGGTCTTTTATTCTGATTTCTCCGAACACTTCGAGCAGACCATCATTTCAAATATGCCTAAGTATGTCGGAACTGATAACTTACCTCCATAGCCGACTTGCAAAGGTGCTCTACCAGTATTTCTAAGTCCCCTTCAAGTTACCCAAGCACACATATTTAATCTACAAAGACACGGGGAACATACATATCTCAATGCAGGAGAAAATATTATAAATATGAGAAAAAAAAATTCTTTTTGTTCAACTTACTTCCAAGTATTCATCCATCCCATATTTTGAACCTTCTCTTCCGAGACCAGACTGCTTAAATCCTCCAAACGGTGCAACCTTTACCATGGAACAAAAAACAGATCAAAAATGAAATTGAACAAAATAACAACAAAAAAAAAGAAAAGAAGAAACATTTGTGAAGCAGAAGCATTACCTCAGTGGATATTAGTCCTTCGTTAACTCCCACAAGTCCATACTCGAGAGCTTCAGATACACGCCAAGTACGAGGCATGCTGGTAGTAAATATGTAAGCAGCTAAACCTGTATAGGTAATGATTCCACCAAAAGCCAAAATAAATAAACAAGGGTTGTGTTGTGTAACAAGTGGAGCTGCGATCCAAATCAAATTGATTGCATGTAGCACATAATTTCTACTCTTACCTTTCAAGTGTGAAATTCTTAACCAAGAAAACAAGTAATGAAAATCAGCAACCTGGGAAAGAACTACAAAGTAAATAATAGCAAATAACCTGCATTTGTGTCATTAGCCATCTGAATAGCTTCTTCTTCAGTTTTAAAACGCATAAGTGGTGCAACTGGGCCGAACACTTCTTGCCTGTGCACGTTTTTAAAAAGTTCACACATTAATGCTTCTACTATTAATATACTTCCCCGCGCTACTTATATCACTCGTGAGAACGAGCTATAAAATGTCATGCCTACTATTAATATACTTCCCCGTGCTACTTACACGTTTCTAAGTTCAATTGCCATAAAACAGTCACCAATGTGAGTTAAAGAATAGATCGTACCGAAATATTAGCATCTCCTTATTGACATTGCCAAGAACAGTAGGCTCATAAAATGTCATGCCTAGGCTGTGCCTCTTTCCTCCAGTCACTACATCTGCTCCCTGTACAAAGATTACAGTTATGGATATCAGTGATGAACCAAATATTTCTGACCTAAAAGATCTCTCTTTACAATTGAAAAGACTTACCATATAAGTGAATGTATATAATAAGAATCAAATCTTACATCTAAATGTGCGCAATAGGTGAGCATTATAATATCAAAAACATATAAAAGCATCCAAAATGTTTATCTAATTGGAATAGGCAGTAAATCATATATAGCCTCCTAGACAAAGTATGAAATTCCTGATTGTCTCAGTGTGCTGCTGTGCTGCATCCACATCTTTAATAGAGTGAACTTTTAAGTACAAAGCACAAAACATCATGAAATGCTACAATATGCTGGTGTTTTTAATTAGAAATACATGACTATCCACACTCTTGACCAAAATTACCTTTGCAGTAGCGTCTTGGACCATTGTTTCGACCTACAAAATGAAAGGTCCATGAAAACCAGAATCTCATCACAACTAAATTTTACACAAATCAGCAACAAAGAATAACTTTACCGCAGAGATAACCTTACAACAAACTACCTAGATACTAATTTCTAGGCAAAGAAAATTAACCACCTTTTCTAAAGCAGCTTCATTGATCAACGGACCCTGTGAAAGAAACACAAAACTTTCAAGATCGTGTTTTAAGATAACCATAGAGATATAAACAAAATAATCAAAATTCCTTAAAAAATAAAAATCATAAAACTGATATTATGACAGTAACATTGCTGTCATAATATCAAGTATCAATAAAATATAGTTTCCCAATGAATATAAATTAACACTGTACTATGCCAATCAAAGGATCAATTCAAGTGAAAAGGATGAAAAAGCAGAAGTTAATACCTGAACAGTACCTTCTATAAGGCCATTGCCAACTTGCAAAGCCTGAACCGCCTTTGCAAAAGCATTAGCAAATTTTTCATAAATACCTGCACAGAATGGAATTATAAACTTGTGAGAGGATAAGTATGAGGCACATAAAAGAGATGACAAAGTTTCAACTATATAAATGCAGTCATCCACCACTCAACAAACTTCAAGTGCAACAAGGAGAAGAAAAAAAATAAAGGTTTGTAGTAAAACCAATGAGGATGATTAAACAAAACAAAGCAATTTTTATAAAACAAGGATTACAAAGTATATGGCATCTGCAAGGGTTGACAGTTGACACCTTCTCAATGCTAGTAGAATAGCAGCTTACTCAATATGATCTGGCTTGCATCTGGATACCCACAAAAGCCTTTTAATCTAAGATTGACTTTTAGAAAAACTTTGGTTTTTGTTCACACAATACTCATAAGAAAGACTGTCGATTTGCAGATTGTTTGGTAAGTTATCTTCTATAATTTTCCATTACAACAATAAGTCTCTTGACACTAACCAGTCAACAAATACATTAGGTTCTTTTATAACTCAGAAGATTTAAACCCAAGGATCCACAAAATGTAAAATTAATCTACCAAATGATAATCAACATTTTTATAGCGTTGACTCTGACTTCTATATGTTAGATTCAAAAGAACCTCCAAGTGCAGAGACAACCCACCAAACAGCATGTAGAAATTGTTAATTAACCTAGAATGATCCAAAAAGGATATCATCAATTCAACATATTTTATTGCACCAAAATATCATCAATTACCTCTGCAGATAGATTCTTTTTTATATTTTTCTCTGGATCTTGAAGTGTCCATTTCCTTTACTATTTTTGGATACAACAGACTATTTAAATAAATTTTGTGAAAACTTGACGCTTATGCATATTTATTACAAGATATTTATAATTACAGCTGCAACTAAGTCCAAATGCATAGTTGCAAATAAAGTAAATGGAATCTGTACCTTCTTGCACAAGTATTCTGTTTGCACAAACACATGTTTGCCCACTGTTCCGAAACTTTGCTGCAAGCTGCAAATGGAAATGATAACACCAGAAATAATTCCAAAATCAGCTTGAATCTGTTATGCAAAGTTTTCTGTATATTAAGATTATCCATCAATTGCTATCCACTGTAAACAGTAAAATGATAATCATTGGACAACTATTTTTGGATAAAGCTACAAGCTTTGATGCACACTTAATCTATATTGGTAACAGTTGAAGATTCAGTCAAACATGCAAGTTTGCGCCAAAAGTACTTCAACCGTTAAACAAATAGGATATTTAAAATGAAAATCCATCGGCTATTTAAGAAAGGCATAAGATCACCTCCTATTGATAGAAAAACCCAAAACAAAACCCTCTTTGTTTGAGAAAAATTTATGTGCACACCTGTTTGATCCACTCATGTTCTAATGGAATTTATAATATGGATTCAGCTATCCTCAATATCAGTTTCTGAGAGCACCATCAAGCATGTAGAGATGCTTGTCATTTCTCTTGATAATTCAACATTTGCACTAACTAAAAAGGTAAAGGCAATTTCTTTGCTTTTGGCAAAAAGCTTAAACAATTAGCCTGCTACCATTTCTTCAGGATTTGAAGGTATATCGTAGTGTATGAATAAGAACACAACAACATTAAATTGTAAGGCTCCAATTCGGACTTGAAGTTTATAATGTTAAAAACATTGTGAAAGACAACACGTCTACACTAAGTACCAAAAAACAGATACTGCATTGTGAAGCAAAGATTTTGGAAGAGTCTAGCAAAACGACAAAGAGGGCTACTTAAACAACAAGGTTCACAGATCAGGAATCAGCTTTTGAGTCATAAGGAATCTAGGTGAGGAAATGTTAGGCATAAGACCTGCCCAAAATGGATGACTGGTTTTGATTGGACACAAGAAAATTTATCCTAGCCTACACTAGTAAACAACTGAATTTAGGAAGCAGTCTTGAATCAGTTAGCATCTCGTCGCAAATGCTATCTTATATTACAGTTCAAAGAGGAAAACAGGGATATCCCAAGTAGTAGTAGTTTTACAAACTCAACAAGATGGAAAAATTAAGCTAGTTTTCAGCATGTGTGAAACAGCTAAGAGGACAATCTAATCTTTATATGGATTTATCAATTACCTCTATTCAATGAAGAGATTAACATAACATCAAGAGGGGAATACTTTCTGTGAGGATCATGATGCAGTCAGATAGAATTCAGTTTGTGATTATGTGAGAAGGAAAACCACCAATGCATATATAAGTAAATGGATAAAGAGATCAGAAATATATAGGCAATAGCATTGGCTTACACTGCCCTTTACTGCCACATCCAGATCTGCATCATCAAACACAATGCAAGGTGCATTCCCACCAAGTTCCAAGGATATCTGTAAAAAGATTAATATTTCATATGAAACTCGAACAACCATAAAGATTTTCTAGTTCCAAACCAAGAAAAAATAAAGAAAAATCAAACTACTTATTTGAACTACTTTAGTTAAAATGGGGATATAATGGCTTTAGCCAAGATAAGATAATATAAAGCATCCAACTCTTGATATATTTAATATACCCTTTCTACTCATATATTCTATACATTTGTATAATCATGAGATTAACTTGTGTGTGCATAACTTCTCACCAAGAAATTTTTTGAGGGCATACCTTCTTAACAGTACTCGCTGACCCTGCCATTAACTTTTTACCAACAGCTGTTGATCCAGTGAATGTTATCTTCCTTACCTATAAAAAAGTAAAATTTATTATAACATCATCTATTTCTGGAAAAATTAAAGGTAAATATAAAGCAATAAGTAAGAACCTGTGTGCTTTCTAGCAGAGTATCGCCAATATCAGACGCATTGCCCATCACAACGTTCAGTGCACCCTGAATAATGGGAAAAGGTAAGAAAAATATTAGCATGGTATAAGTGCGACATTTACAAATTGACAAAAAACAGAAGATGCTAAAACTGCATATGTATTGTTTCTGTTAGAAAGAATAATGTTGAAGCATGCTCATGAACAGAAAAGGCTAAATTGGAGAAGCAGCTGAATCAAATTTGTCAAAAAAGACCATCTTCCACACAAGTGAACAAAAAACTTCTATTCACTGCACAGATAAAAAAATTGCTTTTCAATGTTCAGAGCTACTGAGCATGCTTAATGGAGACACCAAACAAGAAACAGAATGCAAGTAAAGAATTAGAAAGTTCATGAGAAGGTCATCAATTTAGACTTATAAGTAGGGTATTACGAGCTATAGGAGCAATAAAACCCTTATGTGCTAACTGTAACTGAATGGAGAATAACCCTATTAAGAAAAAACTAGCATATTCTTCAGTACATTGTATAACTGATCAACATCAGACCTAAATAAGGCTCCATCTCAGTTGAGACATGATCCATAATGGCCGTGAAGCAGATTCAACAGTGTTTGGGTCTCTCATTGACATACTACAAGGCCACATTTTGTTGCATGGACAAAAATAACTTCAATAGCTTACTTTCTGCTATGGAGTTCCAGAACAACTGAATTAACCAAGCATGCTTTGCCATCTGTTAGTTTATTTCCCAACACGATATACTCTTCTGAAGTACTTAAAAATACTTAAAAAATTAGAAATCTCCAAATGTCAGAGTAGAGAAAAGAATAAACAAGATATAGGGAAAACAAGGTCATGAACTATTATCCCACAACCAGAAGAAGCAGACAAAAAGAAGAAACAGAATGCTGTATTTCCATGTAGTTACTCATATTTTGCATATTTTCCATGAGGATACAGCTAATCATGTGATGCAACAGGTCTCATGAAACAGATTGCAAAAGATATCTTGGAGCTCAGGTAGACATATTCAGACACAAAAGTCCAAAAGCAGCACATTTTGTGAATGGAGACACCTGCCCATCTGCGTAGAGAGACATGAAAATGCACGATTGCATTGCCTTGTATGCATACATAAAAGGAATATGTATCAATTAAGCATTTATATCCTGCCTAGTTTTAAGTATTGGCACATAGATACAGAGAATTATGTTTTCCAATGTGTAGATGTATGCCAGTGTTGGTAGTCACAGTTTTCTTTTGGTGCTCATCACATGTTTGTTTACTTGAAATGGAAGCCTGCTACAAGGATCCACCAAAGGTATCAACTAAACAACAGCTTTAAAATCAGCTCTCAAAACCTTTGCATCAAATAGCTGGGAAAATGACAATACCTCTATTGGCCCTGGTGCCGTCATGCTCTTCCAAAACTTATTTGGCTAAGTTTCGGAACATTGCTTGGTTGAATCTAGAAAACTAATATACATGATTACAAATGAAGATAATACATTCATCTTTTACGTCATGAACTGCTTGCAATAGTTCAGATGCTTCTTTAACAAACCCACTTAAGATAACCCTGAAAACCACTACCTTCCCAGTGCATCCTCTTGTTTCCCCCAAAACAACTCTACCAATGTGATCTCATTTAATACTTGGTGTTACAAACATCATTCACTTCAGCCCAAATCTCAAGTTTCAAGTTTTGAGTCACACCCCCTAGATCCTCAACTTCTAAAACAAATTAACAAGAAAAAAAGCAACTTCTGAGAATAATAGAAGAATTGCAAAAGAAAGAATAAATAGAAGAAAAGAAATAAAAAGGAGAAACTTACTGGTGGTATGCCAGCTTGAAGAGCAAGCTCTGCTGCAGCTAGTGCAGTCAAAGGTGTATACTCTGATGGCTTGACAACAACCGTGCAACCACAAGCCAATGCTGGCCCAACCTGACACATCACAAAGCAGGAAGTTCTTTTTTTTTCTGATGCAAGTCAGATGCAAGAATTGCATGCTTTTTATAGGCAGGTATAATAAATTCACCATGTCATGATGTCAATCTATTAGCTAACATTTACCTTCCGGGTAATCATGGCTAAAGGAAAGTTCCAGGGTGTAATTGCTCCAACTACTCCAACAGGCTGCAAGAGACATTAAACATCAAATACCATGGTTTCCTAAAAGAAAGATATTTATCTTTATGAAGCTAATAGTTATAGGCTTATAGCATTGTAGAGGCAAACTGCAAATGAACAATCACATGTACTTACAAAAGGGAATAGTTTGTATCATGGTCTAAAATACTGATTTGACCAATATGTACCAACTAGTATTTCAACTGTCCAACCATGCACTGGCATAAGAACACATGGCAAGGTGTTGCTTGGTAACCATTCAATTAATTATTTTTTTTAGTGGTACCATGCACCAGACAGTATATATCGGTACATCATCCAATAACTTGGTACCTTACTAGTCTGACCCCTTCTAAACCTGGTATCAGATTGATATTCAAAACCATTATTCAGATTTATATGACATTTTGCCAGTATCATCGTGAAGATATTCTCATAAGCAAATTTTAAAGACAATAGGATAACATTAAAAAACAAACATATGCCACTGGTAGAGCAGTTATTAGTTTCCGTTGATATCAACACTCCATTGGAAGGAAGATGTGTAATCAACGTAGCAAGCAAACTTACCTTGAAAAATGCCCTAGATAAAAGTGATATATAGAATCAGGAAACTGGTGAATGTTATGTGGCAGTATTACTAGTCTTTATATAGAATGAAAGTCACTCATTGGCATTTTCTTGTTTAAAAAAACCCATTCAGTCAGACTAGTCTATACCACTGTTGTTAGCAGCCATTGTGCTTGGATGCATACCCCAAATTTTTCACTACTCCCCGATCATAAAATTTCACATGCACTTACTAAAGATATAGATCTAATAAATAAATTATCCTAATATAATATTTTTAAGCAACTCTAAAGAATGCTTATGGCTTTGTTGCGTTAGGTCAATGTCAGTCCTAATCCCGGATGAAAAAAGTGAAGGGTTGCATTAGGTCATTGACAACCAGCATAAAACTATCCGGATCTCCTGAATATGGATCTTAAGTTCGGACTTACTGTTTTGTTGTTATTGTCGTCATCTAAAGAATGCTGCCCTTATTTCTCCACCTTTGCCAAATATGACTATTACTCTAAATCCCAAAGACCTTACTATTTTATTGTCAAAATTTTACATTTTCAATTTAGCAAAACAGCTTTTAAATAATTATCATGGTGAAGTACCCAAGATATTTGCTTTCTAACAACTTACAGCCTATAACATGTAACAACCATCTAATAAGAATGACACATAGAAAAGTCTTTATACGTTTTATGAAAAAAAATGCAGATTTTGTGTCTTGTTCTACTAAACAGAATTTGAATAAGAGCTACTGAAATCGATCATTTTAATATTTAGTATCCACAAGTTACTGTGTCATTGATGTAACAAGATGTCCATGCCAAATGACACGGAGAACCTGACAGCAAGCACGAAGCCTATGCTCACATAGTACTTTGCTGGAAAAGACTATTGCATTCTGCTTTGATGACCATCAAATACCATCTAACATGGCTTAGTGAGACTAACAAATGCATTCCTTGAATGTTTCAACATGCAATATACCATAATATGCAGTACACAATATGATAAAATCCAACTATGAATAGAGAATCATATTAAATTTTGGTGATCATGCCAATGAAATCATCTCAAGTCACACTCAAAAGTTTGGTTAATGTTGCTCAATGATAAATGAGCTTTCAGATGATAGATTCTTTTGGTTATTATACTATATGTTAGCAGCAGGTTCGGGTGTGGCAGCCACAGCCTTAACCTTCACAAGATGCATAAGTAAGCTTATAAAACATTATAATATTTAGATTCTACAGACTACATACCGGAGGCAACAAGTTTCTAAGAGATTCCAGAGGGCTAGAGCCAAAAAAAAAAAAAAAATCTGTACATGAAAGGAGACAGCTGCTAGAATGTCTTTAAAGTGAAAGCATTGCGAAACCTTAATGAAGATCTTGACATGCCCATATGCTCATGGATACTCGGAGATTAAAAAAAATGGTAAATACTAAAAACAACTGAAATAATCAAAATATTGGAGACAACAACAAAGTTATAGAATTATATATGTATGGCTACTAGAAGCTGATTTGTGATTTTTTGAGCAGCAAGGTTCAGGAACAGCTAATATGAAACCAAAAAAATCAAATATGGTAATCAAGTAGTTGCCTGCTTTAAAACAAGCAACCGACGATCATCGATTGTGGGAGCAATTATGTCACCATATATGCGTTTAGCTTCCTCAGCAAAAAACTCAATAAATGCAGCCCCATAAGAAACCTGCAAAGAAGTTCATAAGCACAATTAACTTTTATCTTGAATAGGAAACAATATATGACAAAAGCTATTTTAAATACAACTTCAAACAGAAGTCATTTTGATACCTCACCCAGTGACTCCTTTAGAGGCTTTCCTTGTTCCAATGTTATAAGTAATGCAAGATCCTCTTTATGGGAAATAATTAAATCATACCTTCAGAAATATTTAAGGTGAAAGAGTTACAGTAAAGTAAATAAGACTGAAAAACAAGAAATTCGATTTAGTATATTCAATCGAAGCACCTAATGGTCAAAAGAAAATGCTAAAACAGAAACAATGACTTACAAATAAAATTCATTCTGGATGTATAACTCAAAGAGAGATGAAAACTTTCCCAATAGCTCTCACATTCAGCAGCAAAAATCACAGATAGAACTACCACATTATCCTTACGGTGAGTGGCTCACATTTGTAGAAGCAACACCCTTTAATTTCAATTGGATAAGTCACACAGAATAAGAGCTGGACGTTAAAAGTTTTTAAAACTGATTTTTCAATGTCATGGGTTCTATCAACAAATCAACAAAACATCTAAAAGTTGTTTAAATAAAAGGTCCCGCAAATTAGCAAAGTGCAGTTAAAGAAATAACATCGATCACTACAAACGAACATGATAACTTTCTTGTGAGCATAGCAATATTAACATTGAGCAATACACCAATGCCAAGGACAACTTATATGAAAAAAATAGTACACATGAAAGCCTGTTGTAATTGATCAAATTCAATGGTACCATTTCCTTAGACACTTGCTCCGTTCACTTGCAGTGAGTTTGCTCCAAGCTGTGAAAAGAAAAACATCATAACAAACATATAATGTTAAAAGAATACCTGAAAATGCCGTAATAGACATTCTAAAGACAGTCCTTTAAACAAGCAAATCAATGAGTTTTTCATAAGCAGTTGGTAATTAATAATTAGTGATATCTGTCTGACAAGTTTACAGAAAAAGATTGGACGGAATGAACGATATTAAAAACTAATTCATTCATATGCTCAAAGGAGCAAGAAGTGATAAAGAAAACAAACTCAAAAAACTCATTGGAAGAAAATAACGACAGATTAACATATGAAAAGTTAACAAGACCAAATATTACTTCTATGTGTTCATTTAAAACCTAGTTAAGTTAGATAGATTTGGCATAATATGATTCAAATGACTTGCAATTAGCTAATCGATCGAAGCAGATTTGTTGGATTAGGACTCAATAGTCTATGATCTTCCAAATTTAGTGAATAAAGTCAGTAACTCTTTCTTATGATTGATTTAAATAAGAAATGATTTTTGAGAATACTACACCATAATCAAAGTATATAAATCTGGGAAGTCAAAACAAATATTATACCTCCCTAGGACATTAAGTAACAACCACAATCTATATAAAAGGGATTGTATCCAATTTAATGAAGACTTCAATAATAGGTGGTCAATCCATGCATGTGCAACAAACCCGGCTATTATAGTTCTGTTTCAGGACTCCATAACTGGACAAGAGTCATTTTCACATTTCCCCATGATAGGGGCATCAATAGATCTAGCTATATGTAGGCACACACACACACACACACACACACACACACACACACGTACGTACGTACGTACGTACGTACATACATACATACATACATACATACATACATACATACATACATACATACATACATACATATATATATATATATATATATATATATATATATATATAGAGAGAGAGAGAGAGAGAGAGAGAGAGAGAGAGAGAGAGATGCAGCATTTTTATATTTTCTGTATATTAATCAACTGAGACTAGGAGTGGGATGTTTAAAATCTGTAATGAGGCATCATAAGCCTCTTTGATGCATCACTCAATAGGACTCCTTATTTTTCTTTCAATTTGGTCATGGCAGGCTACTTAGCTGTTTTGATTTAGAGGAGGAGACTACATTAGGAAGAAATCCAGGAACTAAGAGTAAACTTTTGACACCTAGTGTTAAAGGCCAAAGAAGAAAATGCAGACTAAGGTGCACATAGTCCATATGGCTTTTAGTTAGAAAAGTCAATATTAGCAACATCTGAGAATGGCAAATTGCACTAGCCAGCCAATTTTTGCAATACAAGCCAATATTAACCCACCATCCACACCAATCTTTCAACCAATCTGAATGTCCTATGCACACCCAACTAATGGCTTGACATCATGATCATCACAGAAACTAATAGCTTGACATCAACAAATGGAAAAATCAAGTATTAATCAGCTTCCATATTTCTTACAAGAAAATGTATTATATGCAGAGGATATTGCATTGGTAGTCTCATTCCTGCCCATGCATGGAACACTTGCAATGACATCCCCAGTAGCAGGATTTTGCACCTACAAAATAACAAATGGTAAGTAATATCCTCCTACCCTACGCCTTTCTTTGTATGTTTGTTATTCTTCATCCAAAGTTTCAGTGAGGGTGAATAATGACAACCATCAATTGATAAGCTATTGAACAAAATACTGTCAGTTTTGCAACATCAATAATTGCCTTTCCCAAACAAAGAAATGGAATACAAAAATCTTTACTTCTACTATCCCATACAGAACTGGATTTTCTTGCTAAATGTACAAAAAAAATGAACAATACTATCATTTGAAAGCCGTTTTGTTTCTGATAGATTTTTTAAATTACTTATATGAAAGAGGTCAAACCTGATATATTAATCTGGTCGATATGATCCAGTTGGATGATAAGTGCATGCTTATTGCCATATTCAACTAGATGGAATTGCCATTGTCTAATTCTATAAATATATGTTATAATATCAATGTTAGTCCCTGACGAAATCATAGTTCTTCAGGTGAACCTAACTGAAGATGTTGAATAACAAAGGATGCTACTTCTGCAGTTAAGGTTTAGTAGGGCTATCTGTTAGGTTTAGTAGGTTTGGTAGTGCCATTCATCTAGATGGAATTGCCATTGTATAATTCTATAAATACATGGTATAATATCAATGTTAGTTCCTGACGAAATCATAGTTCTTCAGGTGAAGCTAACTGAAGACGTTGAATCACAAAGGATGCTACTTCTGCAGTTAAGGTTTAGTAGGGGCTATCAGTCCAACCAAACATTATATCTTGTTGTACAACATTTTTGGCGGAGCGTTTCATGGACTCCTTTAAATTTGGTTATAGTTTGACTTTTAAAGAGGAAACATATGAATTATATAATAACATTGGTGAATCCGTAGGATTTGAACACATTCATTTAAATAAGAAAAAAAAATCGAATCATTCCGTTCCAGTATAAGTGCATTGTATTCCATTAATCTCCTTAATCTCAATCTTAAGCTTCGCCATAAATTAGAAGCCATAATATCTGACCAAGATGTACAACCAAGATGTACAATTCTAGATTCCAGTATGGTTTTCCTGTTCTATTTCTCGTAATCAATACTCTAACTGTGTCCGTAGTGAATTACCACAACTAAAATACTATTTAGATGCATCAAACTTGAAGAAGAAATCAAGAACACCGTCCACAGGTCAGAAACAAAACGAAGTACGCCTCGAGAGATACCTGAATGGTCTTGCCATCGTAGGCATCGATCCACTTCCCACCGATAAGCCCCTGAGTCCTCAACAATCCCGATTCCTTCAGTCGATCAACGGTAGCCTGCGGTTCCACGCTAATCTGGCCACCAGAGAAACCCCCAAGATTCAGACCTTATCAAGAACCGAAACCACAGAGGCAAGACTGGAGACAAGGAAAGGTCCCTTCAAGAATCGAAACCACGATGCAAGACGGATGACGGGGGAAGGTCACTTTCAAGAATCGAAGCGAGAGGAAAGATCCCTCCAGGAATCGAAACCAGAGGACACGATCGAAGACGAAATGAAGCGCGAAAGAAGGAAGGCCGAGAGCGGGGGGGGGCAAGACGAAAGACGAGATGACAAATACCCAATCAATAATCGAAACAAGAGGGCAAGATCGAAGACGAAGCGAAGCGCGAAAGAAGAAAGGCCGAGAGCGGGGGGCCACACGAAAGACAAGATAACAAATATCCGATCAAGAATCGAAACCAGAGGGAAAGATCGAAGACGAAGAAAGACTGATCCGAAACGATAGAGAGGGGTCGCCGAGATCAGTAGAAACAGCGTCGAGGAGAAGCGTGAAAGCTTGCCTGGCGGCAGAGAAGCCGGAAGGGGGAGGCAAAGTGGCGGCCGAGTAGCCCCGCGCGGCGCATCGCCATCGGGCTTGGTTGTGTCGCGAGAGAAAAGCAAGCCATTCTACGGTCACCTCCCACTCACTACTTCAACCGAGAGCCGGTGATCGATAACGACATTCCAATTTTACATATATGCCCCTCATAAATTCCATATGTACTCTTTATATATATATATATATATATATATATATGATAAAAGCTATGGGAAGAGACAAAGTGGATGAGAAGGTATCCATGTCTTGTAGTGTC